AGGCACGATATGGGGTCTGAGGACTTGGTCAATGTAGCGGGGAGCTGTGATGCCATTACCCCTGCCTTGACCAATATTCTGAAAGACCACAGGTCCCACTCTCTGGTTCAGTCCGATTCCACCCCAAACCATGATGCTTGGGCCGCCCCACGGGTCTCGTTCCATAACACAAGCATCAGCATAACGTTCGCCCTCCTTCGCCAGACCCTGACTCTGCCATCCACCGTTGAAACACAGTAGCGACTTTCATCAGTGAAGATGATTCTTCTCTATTGCTGTTGACGCCAATTTTGATGCTGCCTGACCCATTGCAGTCGGGCCTGTCGGTGACGATCTCTCAGGATGGGTACACGAGCAGGACGGTTGCACGAGATGTTGTTGGCAGTTAGGCGACGTCGGACTGTACGATCACTGATGGCACGCTGGTGGTTGCCAATGGTTTTGCCGAGCTGTTTCAGTGGCCATTCGGAATCGGTTCTGCAGATGTTGGCGTATCATGAACCGATCTTGTCTGGGAGTAGTGACTCTAGGACGACCACTACGCGGTCGGTCGTCGGTGGTGTTGGTGGTGTTGTGGCGATGTTGCAAACGGTATATCGTTCTGACGTTGACATTGGATGCATTTGCAACGACCTGTGCACTCTGGCCTGCTTGCAGTCTTCCGATCGCTTGTTGTCTCTCATTTCCTGATAATCTTGGCATGGCTGATGAATCGAAATAACGAAAGCCAGCTTAACAGTTTTGGGTGTCTTTTATACCCATACCATCCACGATATGCACGTGCATCATGTTTTTGACAAGACTTTTCCGCAACTGAGTCCCATTGCACTTTTGTAGGCTGCGTTTGGGCAAAGCTCTCCATTTTAAACTCAATTGTTAAATGGACTTTAAGGCAACAAAAAGAAGCAGTAGAACGTTAAATGAGTTTATTGACCACAGAACATGTAATTGCCAATGTCTGTTAAGTTTTATCAGTATTTTCAGAAGTGACGTTTCTTTTGCCTTTCAGTGTATGTACCAGCAGGATTGGCATGACTCCCTTCTCTAGACTCTAAAACGTTCTCGTACTTCTTATTTAAACCAATGTTTTGGCGTTGAACCATATATTGGCTGTATCACTATAAACAAGTTTCGAGTGGTTTGGGCAAAGTTTAGATGTGGCTCACATCGTCTAAAAATAGAAACTGGTAGATACGTGAGCATGCCAAAAAAACAAAGAGTATGTAATATGTGTCGCTGCGGTTATGTTGAAAGTAAATACTATTTTATATGTAGTGTATATGAACACCTACGGCAGTTGTATAAAAAGTATTATATATTTCCTAGTTTACACAAATTTAACATGTTAATGTCTGAAACAATTCGAATACTTCACAAATAATGGGAATGTTAAAAATTGGCTGTAGCGCCGTTGCAACATGTAATGGGCCGTAGCATATACTTTGTGAATAAATGATGATGATGATAATAATGGCAACAATTCAAGATATCAATAATTAATTATTGATATCTGTATTTAATTTCAAGATACCAGGAATTGAACTACTGATATAACAAAACATGACTTTTGGATATCTTTAAATCACATTTTGATACCATTAATCGAATTTTAGATATCGGCAATTCTTTTCAAGATATCACTATTAAGCTTTACCATATCCTTTATATTCATTTCGTGATATCTTAAATTTTATTGCAGATCTACCGTTATCTGCATTTAAGATATCTTCAATTCAATTCATGATACCTTCCATTCAATTCAATGTATCTTTAAAACAATTGAAGATATCAGTAATTCTGTAATAAAAGTGAAAACGGCTAGCCATGCGGGAACCAGCATAATATACACAAAGAAAAAAGCACGCCCCTATTTCTGAACCATGACAAATGGCAAAAATCATGGCATGGGATGACTGACCATAGGAGCTGGGCAGTACCAATGTCATCGGATAGAACACACATTTGACAACAAATAAAGAAGATATTGGTGAGTTGTAATTGAAATTTACTGACAAAAACATCATGGTAACACAGGTACTGTTTTTGACCTTAGATATTACCTAAAAAAGTATGGAGCTGCAGGATTAAGTAAACGTTTGATGTTTCATGTGAAAATGTTCCTTAAAGTCTCCACTTGACATGACACGTGAAACAGATCAGTAGCGGGTATTACCGCCACGTGCCCGGATGACGTATTGCACCCTACGTCTCATGCCTCCAGTCAGACGTTGGATCTGTTGATGGGTCAACAACAACCACTCCTGATGCAATGCTGCTTCCAAATGGCGTAAATCTTGTACAGGCGGATATCGTGCCTGTATGCGCCGCCCCAGAATATCCCAAACATTTTCAAGGGGGGTCAAATTTGGGCTCATTGCTGGCCAGGGTAGAGTCGTAATTGCATTGGCCCTCATGTAATCCACGACTGCATGCGAACGATGAGGCCTGGCGTTGTCATCCAAGTACTGAGGTCGAGAAGCAAGAGGGTGGTTGTCAAAATGAGGAACGACGACTGGCCTCAAAACGTCCCGGATGTACTGAGACCCTGTTAAGTTGCCCCTCATGGTGACCAAATCCAACCTGCACTCATGAGAGATACACCCCGAAACACCATTACCGAGCCCCGCAGTATGCAACAGTCGGTTTAATGTTCCTGGGGGTGTAGGCCGTGTTCCGGTGCCTCCAAACTCTCGTGGAGTGGAGCAGAAAGCGACTTTCGTCTGACCAATGGATCCGTTTCCAAGTTCTCAGATTCCAGTTCAGTCGCGCAATACACCAAGCTAAATGAGAAGCTTAGTGGTGATCTCTCAACAAGGGATGCTTTATGACTCGTCTAGCCCTTAATCCTTCTGCTTTGAGCCGGTTCCTGACGTGTCTGGTGCTGAAACGACGATTGGGCAACCATGGCTGTTTCAGACGAGTACTTGTTAAAAAGAGTTCTTGGCGTATGAGACGAAGAAGGTCCCTGTCTTCGCGATGTGTCGTCACAGTAGGTCTTCCGGATCTGGGACGGTCCTGTATATCACCGGTCTGAGCATGTTTCTCGACTAAATGGCTTTCGACAGTGTGATGATACCCCAAATTCCGACCAATGGCTTTACAAGACATTCCTGCGTTATACATGCCCATTATTTGCCATCTTGTGGCGTTTGATAATCGCCTTCGTGCCATGGTCACACAATGTCATGGAATAACTGTTGAAAACGGAGCTTTAGAAAGCAATTTTTGTTTGGATATACTGCTTTTAGAGATACTCGAGGGTAGCATGCTGCACGGGCATACCATGCATGGCACGTGAGCTTTCGTCACGCATGACTGATTACATCATCTCAAGAAAACACAATTTTTCCCGTAATTATATCTTTCATGACTGTAACAAATTTTGGCACCAAACAATAATGAAATACACTAGCCACATAAAGAAACCGTGCACGGAGAAAATATATTCTGGATTGAAATACAACACAGCAAGAACAAAATGATGCAGACGCTGTAGCAGCTGAGTGATCGGACCATAAGAATGTCAACGGGACCTGAACAATATCTGTTACGATGACTTCAGAAGATCAAAATGGAGTAGGGGGTCAAACGACAAAGTCACAAAGTCAATAACGGGTATGACCACCCTGTGCGTAAATCACAGCAGTGCATCGGCGACGCATGGAGTCCACCAAATGGGCATGGAAGGCCTGGGGAATGGCCTGTCATATCCTCCTCAAATCCTGTGCCAAGTCACGGACGTTATCTAGAGGATGTGGAAGACGACGCAGACGGCGCTCCATTTCATTCCACACATGCTCTATTGGGGAGAGATCTGGAGAAATTGCAGGCCATGGCAGTAACATGACATTGTTATGGTGAAGGAAATCCATTGCGACCCTAGCCGTGTGAGGACGAGCGTTGTTCTGTTGAAATGTCAACCCTGGGCCATGACGTTGCAGGAAAGGAAATGACCACAGGCCTCAGAATCTGATCTCTGTAGCCAACACCGGTGAAATTGCCCTGAACAACCACCAAAGGGGTTCGGTGCCGTGCTGTTATCCCACCCCAAATCATCACAGAGCCACCTCCAAAACGATTCCTCTCCACAATACAGTTGCGTGCATAACGTTCTCCCAAACGCCGGTAGACACGTTGGCGCCCGTCACTGTGGGAAATGTTGAACCTCGATTCATCTGTAAAGACAACATTTCTCCACCTTATTCGAGGTTGGCGAACATGATTTCGACACCATCTTAGACGGTTGACTCAATGACGGTGTGTCAGGATGGGACGTAAGGCAGGGCGTCGTGGTCGGGTCCCGTACTGACGTAAACGATTCCTGACAGTGTTGGGATGGATACGGCGCAGTCAAGGAATTGTCTGGGACGTCGTTACTTCCGTTTGGAACCTGTGTCGGAGATGTGTAACTCGAATCCATCTGTCCTGTCTTGGCGTCGTTACTCGGGGACGTCCTGAACGTGGCTGGTCGGCAACGTCATTTGTGTTCTGATAACGCCTCACCAATGCCGATATCGTGTTACGATGGCATTGGAAATGTGTTGCCACCTGTTGTTGCCTCATTCCCGCTCGGATCATTCCAATTGCTTCATGACGCTGTGCAACTGTCAATCTTGGCATGATTTGCTTGTGATATGCTTGTGTCTGCGCCTGAGAAGTTTTGAATTTTTGAATGACCACAGATCATGCTTTCCAAAGTGACAGCGAATTTTGAGTTGCACATGCTGTGTACAGCTGCACAGGAGGCACGTGCAGTAACACATTGCACGTCCATAGGCCCCCATCAATGACGTCATATCGCATGGCACGAGCATGAGCGTTTGAATGTCTCCAATAATTGCTGTGTTCAAACCTATCTTTCATATATGGACGGTGTGCCCTTACATCTATATTTTCTCCGTGCACAGTTTCTTTATGTGGCTAGTATATATTAGGGTGTGCTTAACTTTTTTCTTTGTGTATAGTTTGTCCAAACAGACGCTCAAGCTGGGTCCCGTCTCTCCGTGGTTGCCAGCCTAGGTCACGTGACGGCCAAGATGGCGGCGCACATGTGAACTGTGTTTCGACAAGACCTGGCAGTCGTCACTGCACTTTTTGTTGTCAAGCAGGGCCAGTATATGTGAATGATTGAAAAGTATGCCAATCACGAAGCACGAAGAGAAAATGGTTGATTTGCAGCATCAACTACGAGAAAATCAACATGATGTTGAGGAGTTTTTGTCAGATATGCAAAACTGGGAAACACGTATGCGAAAGAAAGACACTAATTTGAAGATGGAGGGACCAGTCATTGAAGCTGTAATTATTTTACCTGTCTGTCGTGAACGTATATTTTGGTACACATGCAGAATCTACCTTATTTGTTTGAGGCTGGTAATGGCAACACGCGACACCATGACTATTTCAAAGTATATTGGGACACAGGACACGATTTAGCCTGCAACCTCGGGGTATCGCGGTACTTGTTATGTTCGCTAAACGGAACCAAATGCACTCACTAACTTTTATGATTATTCGTGGTCTCTATATCAGATGTCATTTATTTTATCAAACATTGGGCTCCAAACTGTGCATATTTTACTGCTAAAAGTTCATTATTCACATTAGTAGCGCCGAGTAAAAGCCGGGCCTCACGTTCAGTTTGACGAGGGAGAGAACCCGTACAGTGAAAAGTTGTGTTTGGAGGTCCGAATTGGACAAAAACAGGACATATTTGCACCAACCACTACTTTTGATGATGCCAGACTTCAGTCATTTGTCCCAGAAAGGGCAAAGACAACACAAGTAATACTCTGAATGTGTTATCAGTAATAGGTATTCAATGTACATATTTACCGAAAAGTAAGAAAAATGCATTTTGAAAATCAACAACAAAATATCAGAAATGGTATTTTAAGATTTCTGTTTAAAAAATTGGATGACAGTAATTTGTCAAAAGATTGGATAAATTTTAAAGGTTAAAGGGGCACTGATCTAAAGCAATTCCCGGCGACTGGTAGTTGCCTTTGTTATTGTTTTTTCCCCATGAGTACCCGGATGATATAGCAGAAACCTAGACTAGTTCGCGACCTGTGCTGCGCAATTCTTAAGCGCATTTGTCACTTTTATTGATAGTATAAGGGCGTATGGTCACATTGATAAAAAAATGAAATACAGTTTTGCAGATGTACAAAGAAACTTATTCGATGTCATGTGTCTCTGTAACAATCAAATATTTTAAAAAATATATATCGTTTTGGGATATTATAACCCGTGTTCGTTTCTCAACTGATCACTTAGATTGTTTCAAGTGTTTCACATAGGTGTCAAGTCTCAAAGGTCGGCTAAGAAAGCCCATGTGACAACTATTTTCATAACGTCCTAGGTTCCTAAAAAAATCCATTGAGTTAGATAACAATGAGCAATCAATTAATGTATTATCAGTTAACCCTTTGAACAAAGTATGTTGTTTTTACATTGGCACTTCATGCTATGATATGAGTGTATTCCCTTTGTTTTAGTAAACCTAGACATGTAAACACTCACTTTTGACATATCCACTGTGCAAGATAACAGTGATTAATCAATCAATGTATTTTCTGTTAATCCTCTGATGACAAGGAACGTTCCGTTGATTTACAAAAAAGTAAATCAACTGATCATTCATCTCCTGCTGGGCTGCCACGTGCATATTACATAACACACATCTCATCTCACTTGAAACCTGGATTTGGATTGAATAATTACCCCAGACACAATAAATGCCAAATGGGAACCTTTGTCAGGTATTTTGAGCCGTGCTACCACTAATTATACCTGTAATAAACTCATTAACTGAGCATCAAATGAATGATGACAAATACACACAAGTGTAGGGTTATACCAGAAAACTAGGATGACAACAAGGGAGTAGTAATCTATTATCGACAGAATCCAAAAATGCTTTCACTGCATGGATACTCTTTTATTATTAAACTATAACAATCATATAACTATTTCTAAATGACGACATCCGATGAGCTTCTTTTTGTCTGTTTGTTTAGACTGAAGAAATTAATTAACATGCGCCCTTTGTCGAAATCTTTATAGATCACAGTTAACCAATCATTGTTCAAAAATGAGTAAACAAAAATTGCCTCCAAGTTTATTCAGCTGTCCTTGCAGACGGTAGCCCAATCTCTTGTCACGCTCAGTTGCGTTGCGTATCATCTGGGTACTCACGGGGGAAAAACAATAACAAAGGCAACCACCAGTCCCAGGGAATTGCTTTAGATCAGTGCCCCTTTAACAATAAATATCTAAAAAGCTCCCCTGGTATGCCAAAAGTATGTATTTTATCATTTGGCTACTAATAAAGACTGTATTTCTAAGTATGGAATTATGGCCCTTATGATCTCCTAATACTTTCTGGCCACAGAGCGGGAAAAAATGTGAGGACTACGTACTTCCGTAACCTTATAAGTCGCCGTGAATATGCAGATGATCTAGTTCAGGTCAATAGAGAAAGTTTACTTTGGGAAACTGCGGGTTATATTGTTGTCCATTGATATATGGGGGTCAGGGAATTTCAAAAAGATGCCAGAAGTAGATATCAACGCGTTAATAACTCCCTACTTACAGCAGACGGAACATTCCGAGGAAATTGAAATTGTTTACGAAGCGAGCGTTCCCTGGTTACTGATTTTCAATAATAAATAGCTGCTAAGAGGCGTGTCCCGCACGAACTACCAGAAATCACAAATGCCACAATACGATGAATGCAGCGGTACCACAGGGTTCAAGTATATGTCACAAGTGTCTGTTTTTCAACAGTTTGTTTACTTGGCATAAATACAGAGCTGTGATCCATGTTGTTGTTCTGGAAACTGTTAACTAATGTGTTTATAGTGCACTTAGATGCCTACCTTTAGAATACAGTACCACAAACTTTTCAAACACGTCACAATACCCTATAACGTAATTTGTAGTAGTCACACCCACGGAACAGTGGCGTGTGACGTCAGGGGTCATCGTGTATGCATAAGCTCCTCTCAGTGATCTATCATCTCTACACGCAATGTCACTGAATAAGCCCAGCAATGTTAGAGAGTTTTGAATATTTGTGGCGATGCATTTTATATCAAGTGCTAGTTCATGAAAGTACTTTTATTTTCAATATATTTAATATTAATATATATGTTATATTTTGGTTTCAAGTTAATTCATGGGGCTAAAAGGATTATAACTGGGAACTAATACAGTATTAGACAGTATTTTATTTGCACCCAGTTTCTGTAAGCTGATAAATAAAAAAGGTGTTGCGCAGTGCTTTTATCGCTGTGCAAAAAGAAGTGGAGAAATTTGCTGGTTTTGTACACATTACAAATTTTCGGACTAAAATTGGAAGTGTTGTTTTTTAATTCGGTTTAATTTATTTCCAGTTAAAAGTATACTATCAGATAGGACATTTTCTATTCTACATCACTGCATAATTTTATAGTCGGAGGTAGACCCAGTACCACACAAGCACTATTCTTACACTATACTCGCACAACATTTACTTTTCTGATCTAATGAAAATGTGCATCAGAGAAATAACTCGGCATCCAATGGGTTAAGATGATAACAGAAGTATTTGACATTTTGAAATGAAAATTTGAAATGACTCTTATGGGATGAAATGAACATTGCCTGTAGTTTTGCTGTAGTAGTTTTTGAATCTGGGAACCTCTAAGATTTTAACCTTAGGATTATGAGAGGAACCCCTGAACTTTCATGCTTATTTTAAAGTACGCTCATTGCGAAAATGGACTCAGTTCCCTTCTGCTGCTTCCATGGGAGGTTTATGAAGTTTATGCCATGGGATATGCTACTTTGTCAAATCATTTACCCCACTGCGTTTGTGATATGAGATGGATAACTGCCTTCCAAGACCTCTTTATTCATACACTTCTGAGATATTTTGGCAATTCTTAGTCCTTACTACTTCCCCCCAAAAAACCTGAATATACTCAATGTCTTATTTTATTTTATTTGATGAACAGGATAAGTCACGATCATTCATTCATTTGTAAATTTGTAATAGATTATTTTGTTGTCCAATTGGAGATCTGAAGAGAGGGGGGTGTGGATGACTTTGTGTTCTTGATTGAACTGACCGCTGATTCATCCATTTGAAAAAACCTTGATTACAATGCCTTTGGTGACTGAAAAATAATCTGCACAATGGTGACTGGAAAATACTCTAATCATGATGATTGCTCAAGCGGTTGCCATGGAAGTGAATATTTTTACTTTTCAAGCAAGGTCTTTTTTCTTCTTCAAAGTGACATCCTACAATTATTTTTTCAGCAACTTCCACCTGTCCGCAATACATTAGATCAGAAAAAACTGAGGAAAAAGAAGAAAAGGACAACTGAAAGAGTACAAAACAAACCAAAACGAATAAGCAGCTATGACTATCTTTCGTGGGACACATTTGATGTTGTAAGTTGATTTTTGAACGTTTTATTTACACATTCTTTATTGTATATATATATTCTGGAGAATGCAAAACCTCTATTACATAAGTGCCATAATTCTCTTATTTTGGGTTTTTTCATGCCATAACATCTTTTGAGTTTTGACAACTCCTCTTCACTGTCAACTATTGATAATTAGTTGTGTTACTAATAATATCTCCCTTCAAGCTCTCTTCCTTTCTCTTGCGCATGTGCCAGGCGGAAAAACCTCACTTCTTTCTGCTGTGTGCTTCTGTCAATAGCTGGAAAAAGCCCAAACAGTGGTCAAGCTTCTGAGATAGACCTTGGCTCGAAAACCTGGAGTCATAAGTGATCTTCAACCAAAAGCTGGTCTTGATGTAATGTCATGTGATATATGAGACAGGCACACGCCGATCCAATTGTTTAGTCTAACGAGCTTCCAGCAGTTGCCACACTTTGCCAGACCAGTCCAATGCCCCTTTGATCATCACAGAATATTCCACATGTTTCTATAACGCTTTAACATCCGTCCATGCTATTTCGGAAGTTTACAGAAAATTCAAGCATCTAAATATTTATAACTTCCTCACCACTGCTTACTTTAAATAGTACTACATTCCTGACAACTAATCATTGTCCAAGTGTAATGCAATGAACTTCTATTGAATCTCAACAAAAAACATGCAATACAATCACTGATAACACAAATTTACACTGCCATATGACAAGAGTGAAAATTATTTCTGAGGCTGCACATGGTGCTTTGTTTGTCATATGTGACATTGTATTACAGGTTAGATTGCCAAATTGCGTTTAGTTAACGAGATCATTCCTCACTTGCTTGTTTTTTAGAGTGGTGGTTGTTGCGCTAAGTGGTAGTGTTGTGTTGACCAACCTGCCTGCTCTACGTGTGGGCACTTCAAGGTGTCTGGTGATCCTCTGGCGATGATAATAGATCTGAAAGTTCTCAACAAGGAGTATCTTGTAAGACCACTTAAGTTTCAGATTGAGCACTTTGCTCAGAGATGGGGATTGCATGATCAGCATCGATTTCAGGATGTGTACCTACACTACTGCCTAGAATTTCATTCCCCTAACACGCGTTCTCAACGGGTTGCACACAGGTTGAGCACCCGTTGGACACGGGTGTGCAACGGGTGTGCAGCGCGTGTGCAACCCCTTGCACACGCGTGGGTCACTCATTGCACACGCGTATAACACGGGACCGGGTTCCAGTTGAAGTTGACAAATTTATCAAATGAATAGTGAGATAATACAAAACAGTGAGATGTGAAATTTGAGTTAATGAGCAGCCATTGAGCTGTGTTCACCAGACCATAATTACAAGGTCGGCCCGTCTTAATTAGTGTTCGGTTGCTAGACTTTTATGGCATGAACCATTCCACTAGGGTCCAGTCTAGCCATTGTGGCTAGCCGACAGTAGAACAGTAGTGAATTTAGATGCGAGTTTATTGCTAGGGGAACCCCCGTGTTGACACGATTGTCGCGGGTTGGTAAATGTTCGCCATTAATAAAATGATTGTTTGTGGATTGCGAACATATTCATTTTGCCCACATGAGTCATTCTACTTGATTGCAAATATAACGTTTTTCGTTCGCCAAATTTATGCTTTAGACAGTACAATTATGATATAGCCGTCACCACTACTAATGCCTCATTATTTCACGTAGGAATATGTCCCATTTCCCCACACCCCACTTTCTGTTTTGTATTTTGAAAGAATAAATAAAAGAAAGTTTTGTGTGGGACACTTTTATACTAATTATAAGAGGATGTTGGAAATGAATATGAACAGCCATGCTGTCTGACTGTTGACAGAATTTGAGATCTTCACAATCACCTGGTGTGACCATGTAGACAGAATTTTCGTTAGGGTTTGTGATTTTTACATTTGCCCAATGACCATAGTGAGTATTGCTGGGGATACCAAACGTAACTGTTTATGATTAGAGGTTGTGAGTACCTATACCACGTAGATAGGATATCTTTAGGATTTTAATCCTTTGAGAGGCATTTAGAAGTTGGAGTACTACGTTAGGATAACTTACTTACTTACTTTGGAGATTTAACGTGCGCTTTCCGACTGATGTGTATTTCGCACACGGGCCCAGCCAGGCCATTTAATGTGTTGTCGAAAGGGGCGAAAGTGGTGTGTGCAACCCAAGAGGGGGCTTTAGGGGTTGCTTATATAGAATTTGGGAATTTCGAGATTTGGAATAGATGCCGATGGGATTGGGGAGGAGAACTAAGGGAGCTGGGTATGGTGGATGTTTGTTTGTTTATGTGATTTTGGTTTGGTAGATTATAGTGTTTTTAGATGCGTTTTATTAGTTACGTTTTATTAGTTACGTTTTGATTTTTTGAAGTTTTCTAGTTTATTTTGTGGGTTTAGTATTGCTTCTAGAGTGAGAGCCTTGTTTAGATTGAGGGTGGTTTGTAATGCGGTTCGATGTGTTAGGTAGTGTGTGCAGTGGATGAGTGCGTGTTCTGGGGTTTCTAGTTGTTTGCAGTGTGGGCAGTTACCTGTAGTGTGTTTTTTTAAATTTTTTAGGTGGTTATTTAGGTTGGTGTGTCCTGTTTGGAGTTTAGTGATTACTCTGTCGATTTTTTTTTACGGATGGAGAATTTTTGGTCTGGTTAGTGGTTTGCTGAGTACTTTTTTTATTTGGCTATTTGAGTTTAGATATAGACTATGCCATTTTTTGGTGATTTTTTGCTTATTTACGCTTTTAATTTCTGATTTTGAGATGGGTAAGTTTAAGCTTATTTCTGGGATTTTGAGGGATAGTTTAGCTGCCTTATCGGCGTTTTCATTACCGTATATTCCTACGTGGGTGGGTATCCACAAGAAGGTTATTTGTTTGCCTGCCTTAGGTCGTCGGAGCTTTTAAGTATTAGATTTATTAATTTAGGTCGGTTTTTTGGTATTTTTCTTTTGGAGGGCTTGCAGTCCACTTTGAGAGTCAGTAAGTATTAGGATTTTTTTGTGGTTTTTGGATTCTTGATTATGGAGGGCTGAGGCCATGCTCATTAGTTCTGCCGTGAATATTGATTGGTTGTTTGGGAGTCGAAAGGATTGTGTTGTTTTAGTTGGTTGTGTGGTATGGACTCCGAAACCTGTGTGTTTGGAGGTCGGATCTGAAGATCAGTCCGTGTAAATGTGACACCAATTTGGCCAATTTTCGTGTATGTATGCTAGTGTGGTGGTTTTAGTTATGTTTGGGTCGGTTTGTTTATTTATTTGGCTAGCTAGTGTTGTGTCTATTTTGGGTATTTTAAGTTTAGGGGTGAAGATATTTGATTGTTTGCAGTTTTGTTTAAGATTTTTAATTTGGTGTTCATTTAGGTAGTTTGTTATTCTTTGGGATATTGGAGTAAGTAAGGGGTGTTTACGAGCTAGAGCTTGGTTTTTGGGGCTGATATTTTGGTTTATTAAGTTTTGATGAGAGGGGTTAGGATAAGATTTGTGGGTGACTTTAATCCTTTCTTTCTCTGTGGGTAATCCTTTCACGTTGATTGGAGGAAGTCACTCAACCAGGTCATGACAGGTCGTGAGTTTACTCACTAACTACTGTGAGCGTTTTTGGCATGACATCTTTTCTTGTATAAACATAGTAACGATGCTCACTCACTGTTAATCTGCTGCAGTTTGCTGGCAAAGTGGGGATAAACCTCAGTGTCAAAGACGATCAAACTTAGTTCGAACCCTTTTTTATCTGTGACATCTCCCAACTGGTGACATTTTCATAAACTTGGCAAGTGATGATGAATTTTAATATTAATATTATTATAGTTTATGAAATTGTTAATAATACTTTAATAAAATTGTGCTTCACTCTCACGAAAAATATATTGTCTGTGAGTAAATTTATATGTCATGTTACATCAGCATTTTTCAGTGATATTGCGAAAAAATAATTACCTGATTTGGGGACTACATGAAACATGGATGGTTTTACATTTCTTATACAGGTGCTTGACTGACTGAGTAGTTCATGATCAATTAGATATTTTTAAATCAGTCAAGTTTGCAACAATAGATGAATAAGTTGATACATTTGGACTGCAGTTACCGATTAACAACTTAAGACAGGGAGGAGATATATAACCAAACCTATGGTCCTGTTGAGACAGTTGACAGTTAGAACGTTGGATTAAATGACAGTAACTAATTTGAACATTCCCCAGTAATATCATAAAATACATCATAACTCATAACAGTCCGAGAGACAGCTTCCAGCCATATACTAGTATTGAAAGGACAATCGCTTTTGACAGTTTAAAAATAAACTCTTCTTATGGTGCTTGGCAAGTCAAAACTGACCTCCCTGAATATGTTTTTTAGGTTTGACAGCAACTATGCTTGGGGATTTCAGAGATAGACATGATTTGTTAGCTAGATGTTATTACAATAAGCGAAAATGTCTTAAAAGTCCACAGTTTGTTTAATAGTACAAAAAGTGTGTTATAGATCTATCAACGTTTTCTTTTATTGAACATAATATTTGCACTATATTGCTGTAAGCTGTAAATAATCTGGCATCCCCATGTACGTAACTTACATATATTTATGTATGACCAGAACAGCAAATAAAGTTCTGGTAGGTAGGTACCTCGGAGATTTAACGTGCGCTTTCCGACTTAAGCGTATCTCGCGCACGGGGAAGCACTTATACTATTGGGGTAAAAAAGCGTGCAACCCCCCCCCCAAATATAAGTTTACAGCCTATTCTAATAAAGTTAAGGGGCTAGGGGTTTGGCTGGGTGGGAGTGGGTGATAAAAGAATATTCAATAATATGGAAAAGTTTGGGCCTGGGTGTGGGTGTGGGTGTGGGTGTGGGGGGTGAAGCGTGGGGGGTCAAGCGTGGGAAGGCACGGTGTCGGCTGGCGAGCGTGTGTGGCTAGAAGTCTAGCGGCGGTATCCTTGTGGTAGTCTCTTGGTCAGCTTCTCTTCCTGGGGGTCAGGATTCTGGTAGAGACT